GGTTTGCGACGCCTCGGGCTGCTCTACCAGCCATGCCCCCCGACGAGCCAGATCGCAACGAGGAGGAGGCAGAGGGCTCCTCAGATTACACGTGTAATCTCTGCGACCAGTTCAAAGAGAATCCAGAGCACTAAACCCGCGGGCCACTGAGGAGCGGTAAGAACCGCCATGGTAGGGGCTTAATGACACCCACAAGCCCGCAGGGTAAATAAACGGTCTAAAATGGAGTCTCGAGTCTGTACTCTTTGTAACCCTCTAGCTTATCCGCATCCCTTGCCGGAAGGCAGAAGGGGCTGAAAGTCCTGTCCAGGACAGAGTTCAGTCCCTGGTGTCCTCCTTCATCTGAAGCAGCAGTGCTTTGACACACACACAGCAGACATTTGCGCTCAGGCTGTTGACTACAAGCCCGGGAGATCAGCTCCCTTGAGACCTGCCTGCCGATCAGGAGAGAACACCCTCACCCCTGACCTGGGGCCTCCCTCACATTGTTCACTTACCCTGAAACAGGAGAGGCTTTCCTGAGTCCCCTCGACGTTGCCACGCAGCTCCTGATGAGCAGCTGAGAGGCCCTGGACGGGTACCCAGGAGCCCTCCAAGGAGGCCCACCCAGGTCAGGCTGTCCCAACTCAACGGATGTAAGACCACTGCACCCTAGCTCAGAGGGGAGCCTGTCCGGGCCAGGCCTGGGGGTGGGGGGAGTCCATCACCCACAGATACCTCCACCAGGAATGCTGCTAGAGGTCTCACACACACACGTACACAGACACACAGACACACACACACACACACACACACACACACACACACAGTGTGTGCGTGCTTGCCGGTTTACAGCAAAACAATGCTACGTCTCAAAAGTCGTGCTCACGCTGTTGTCAGAGGCGTGGTAAGGTCCTGTGCTTGTGTGCAAAGTGGCTGTGTCACGGGTGGTCACTGGTTTTCAGTTTACGTATGTATTTCTTCCATGAGAGAGAGAGACAGAGTCAGGAAGTCCAGATGCGGTGTTCCCCCGTGAGCCACTCCAGCCTCAGCCTCACCTGAATCACGAGCAGACAGGCCCGGTGTGCACAGGGAGGCTCCGGGACTCGAACCGGGGACCCTTCCAGGTGGTGGCTCCAATTGTGTTGCCACCACGCCCCCAGCTGGCTCCCTGACGGACACTTTTAAATAAGAACGAGGGTAACCTGAGAGGACGGCCAGCTGCTGTTTCTGGTTCTGACACGCTCTTCACCCTGGGGAGTCAGTCCAGGAGCGGCTGGTCACCCCTGGGCAAAGGTTCAGTATGCACAGGGAACACACCTAAGGGAGCCCCAAACGCCACACGGTGGTCGTCAACACACGAGTCTGTAAGGTCACAGAAGAACCAGGAGGGAAAGGAGTGGCGATGCCCGGCCATGTACCAGCAGCTTTGGCTCCTTCCTAACTCGAGTGTTTGAGACTCACACAAGGAGCCTGGAGAAGCGTCACACAGGGACCCCCGAACCCCACCCCAAGATGTTCATCTGAGAGAAGAAAGCTGCTTGCGCTGGACGGTGCACTCCAACAGGCAGCCGTTCAGACGACACCTGACTGACAGGTCTGTGCCAGGGTGGCCGGTGGACGGGGTCACGACCGGGCCGCTCTCAGCAGCCAGCTTCTCAGGAGCCGGCATCTGCCACGCCTCGTGCCCCGCGGGGATCAGGTGCTCCGGGATGTCTACCTGGAACACGTTCTTTGCCCCCTTCCAAGGTATGGGCTCCAGCAGCCACCTGGGGTTGGAGATTACAGTCAGGTACTTCTGCTGCAGGTCGGTCAGGATGGCTTGCTCTTCCAGGGCCGCGGCCTCGTCCTCGGCCAAGTGTTCAGGGCACAGCAAAGTCTCCCCAATGTCGACAAGCCCTGTGCACAGAGAAACAGACCAGTAAGTTTTCCCTTCCCTAACCCAAGGCCTGCCTGTGCGACCACGGCTTAGTCCCAGCTACGACCACTGCAGGCGAAACGGACAGACTGCGGCCAGAGCCTCCGAAGGACACAGAGCGGGGTGAGTCCTTCCCGAGTGTGCACTGAGGACGGGGAAACCCTGATCTCAGAATCCAGCGGGAGGCAGAGGCCACATCCAGAAAGGAAGAGGTGTCAGGCTCGTCCTCAGTCAGGGCACCCCGGTGACGGGCGGGTCCGAGCGAGACTGTAGAGGGTGGCAGGTATAGACTGGCAGGGCGGTCAGTGCCTGGAAACTCCGGGCCACTAACTGCCTGAGCGGCTCTCCTGGCAGCAGGAGCAGAGGCTAGGCCTCACCCACCGAGAGGGACCTGCAGGGGACTTGACTGGGGTGGGGGGGCAGCAGGCAGCGGGGCCGGGGCAGTCGCCTGACCTCGGTGTGCTGTGTTGCCCCTCCGGGTCTCTGCCACAGGCTCGCACACAGCCGGCTGCCGCACAGGGACACGGCCCGGCCCGCCTCCCAGATCCCAAGCAGGAACTGAGGCCCAGGGTGGAGACGGGCTTCACGTCGGCCGTGGAGCCCGGGGGCCCCTTGCTGCTCCTCCGAGGCGTGCTACTCACACGAACCACAGCGCACACCAACCAGTTCAAGTCCACATGGCAGCCACGGGACTCCCAGGGAGCTCCAGGGCGGTGGCCCCGGGAGGCGTCTGCTTGAGGCTCATCACACGGTCACTTACCAGCTATCACTCCCCGGCCAAACTTTTCCCCTTCCTGAAGCAAGGCCTGAACCTGAGCGGGAGTCATCCCGAGCCTTCCCACCAGCAGCTGCCACCAGGCGTCATCTTCCCAGTCCCTGTGAGCGATGTGGACGGCCAGGGTGCGGTGCCGGTGGCTGCTCAGCACGGGGCGCCAACGTGTCTCCAAGGTCTTGACTCCGTTTAAGATGAAGCCAGCATAAGGCTGGCGGAAGGAGAGGCAGCCAACCTTCATCTCCAGCACGTTCCGGGGCCTCAGGGGGCCTGCGGAAACACAAGCACATCACACACGGCCCTCCGGGCTCCTGGCCTGAAGCTGCATGGACCTCGATAGCGTGCTTCCAGCTGTCACCATGTGGTCACCTAACTAGAGGGATGGGATTCTGATGACTCGGGTCCACCGAGGGAGGCTGTGAGAAGCCCACGGAGCAGGGCAGGGACACCTAGAAAGGGGCACAGGCAAGACAGTGTGTGGTCAGTGCGGTGACATGGTCCTGTGCCTCAGGGAGCGGGGGCGGGGGTGTGCCTAGGCCTAGTGACAGTTGGGGCTGGTGTCAGCCCTCTTCCAGCACAGAGGGACAGTCCGGGGCCGTGGCTCACCGATGCTCTCTGATCCCAAGCCCCCAGGCTCTGGGCTCCTACCACAGGGCTGCAGAGCACAGAACCCCGGTGTCTGACCTCAGCTCGGCCTCACAGCCCCGTGATCCCTGATGGCCCCGTCAGGTGTCCTCTTCCGACCTCTTCAGCAGCTGCCTCCTGCCTCAAGCCCCTTTGCCCACCCCAGCCCGGCCGAGAGAGGGGAAGAAGAACCGGCTGCTGTGTGCACGCGTGCTCTGCACGCCAGGCCCTGGGATGGGCACAGTCCTCCCATCATCAAACCCAGTCCTCGGGTAACTCGGGGAGGTCAGGTAGTACTCCTGTTACAGCTACCCCAGGGCTGAGAATGAGGTGCCGGGGACAGAGCAAAGGCGCCCCACCCCGCCTACTCCTCCCCGTGTGCTCTGTGGAGAGGGCCCCCACTCCCGGCCTGCGGACAGTGCAATGCGGAGGGAGGGACACAGGCCCCAGGCTGGGCAGCCACGCACTGGCGCCAGAATCTCGGCTCAGTTACGGCATCTCGTGAAGCCTCCCTTTCCAGGGACTGTGAGGACAGAAGCCTTGCTGAGAGCTCCCAGGCCTGCTCCAGGCACCCAACAGCCCCCTGACAAATGTGGCCGATCTCGTCGAGGTCGTCACCGTCACCACCACCGTCGGGCCTGGGCCACGTGTCCGGGCTCTTACTGCACCGTGAGCAGCTCCCTCCGCTTCGCTTAGCATCTCCCCGTCCCTTCGATAGGGGCCTAAACGCTCCCTGGAGGATCGCCTACGATTTGAAAAGACCATGGCCGCTCGGCAGACAAGGCCCTACAGGGACAGAAGCCGCCCAGTGGGTAGTCACTGCCTTCCGGGGCTGCCTCCCCCTCCCCTTCCCCTTCCCCTCCCGGGGCCCCAAGCCCCACCGGGCCCCCTCCACGGTGCCGACTCCAGCCCCTCTGCCCACTCCAGGGCCTCCGGCCGGCCACCGTATGCTCTGGTTCAGCACACGATCCCGTTGCCGAGGGGATCCCCCTAACAATGCTGTGCACACTCGAGCACGCCAGCAATACCCCTCCTTGAGTCTGCCTGCACCTGCATCTCTGCACCCCTTCCCCGAACACCTGCACAGCAGAAACTTCCAACAGCCGTCTCCCCTCGCAGCCCCCGCCTCTTCTCTACACCCTCTGGGCCCTCCGCCTGACACCCTCCCTTACCCTACCCCTCTGTCCCCACAAGCCTGTCCCCAGACACCAATGACAGGTCTTGCCTCTCTGACTCCACCTTCCTGGACGCTCAGCAGCCCGTCCCAGGGGACCACCTCTCCCGCCCTGTTTTTCAGGCTGCCGGGGTGCTCACCAGCCGGCTCTGCCCCCATGGCACAGGCCACCCCTGCTTAGCTTTGGCCTCGCACTGCCAGGACAAGGCAGACTCTGGACCCCAGCCACAGCCCTCCTGACCCACTCGGTAGGCAGCAGCACCACCTGCAGGACCTAGGAGCCCTCTGCCCTCCCTGCCCTCCCTGTGCCCACCGCCCACGTCGCATGGCACTACCTCCAGAACTCTCCCCCAGTGGGATCCCTGTCCTCGTCTCCAGGGCCACCACCCATGTCCAGGCCCAAACGTCCCACCGCCTCCTCCAGGGTCATCCCTGTCGGCCCCGTCCCTCAGCAGACCCTCCACACTCTAGAGTCCACCTTGAGTCAGAACCTTGGCCCGGGGGCAATCGGATCTCGGTGCTCCTCCGCAGAAACCTGCCCAGAGCTTCCTGTCCCGACCAGGGCAGAAGGCAAGGTTCTCACCAGGGCCTGCACGTCCCCCACGGGCTGGCTGGCTGCCCTCCCCAGCCAGCACCTGCCCTGCTCGCCCACCCTGCTCTCGGCCACCTGCAGCCACACAGGCTGTGGCTCCACATGCAGCGGGAGGGGTGTCCTTCTAAAGCAGGGACATCTGGAGACAAGCACGCCGGCAGGGAGGACACGAGGAGATGCAGGCAGAGACCGGGGCGATGCTCCTACAGGCCAGGCCAGGCCAGGCCAGGCCAAGCCAGGTTGCCAACCGACCACCAGAAGCTACACGGAGGAGCACAGCAGTCTCCGCCCCAGCCCCCAGAGGAAATGGCCTTTGGGACGCCTCCTTGTCAGGGCTCTCATCCCCAGAAATGTGAGGCGATAAATGTCTCTCACTTCAGCCACCCGCTCTGTGGCACTGTGGTACGGCCATGGTGGCAAACTAGCACGTGGGTGTGAGCTGTTCCCTGCACATCGCTGTGGGAGGGCATGGATTTTCCATCTCACGGTACATTGAGCATTTTCTGCCACCTGTACAGGGCTGTCTGACTTGCTTCCACGGTCCATGTGGCATCGTGTCACTGGCTGTCCCACGACCACCAAAGCACTCCTCTCTTGAGGGACAAGTACAAGCTGCTTCCCATTCTCTGCCACCAGGAGCACTAACACTTGCCACCTGAAGACACGTCTAAGAGGACGTCTGGCTAGCGTGGCCCCCAGGTCTAAGGGGACAGCAGGTGCCAGCCAATGGCCTTCCCTGCAGACTCACCCGTGTACCTGCCTCGGGCCCACAGCGCCCTCGCCCGCCCATGTGTCCGCCCCCATCGCCAACCATTCTGCAGTCAGGGGACAAGAGATCTGCCTATTCCTTGCATTCCAATGACTGCCTCTGGGGCCTGGCCATTTCGTTTCTGCCACCGGTTTCCTCGGCCAACCCCTTTCTCGCCAAAGCGCAAGACCACAACCACCCAGCTAGAATCCTGAAGCAGGAATCCCTCCTGAGGACTGCCCTGGCTGCAAAGGCCAGACGGGGTCGACCTGCCCGCTGCCCTGAGGTGCAGAAAGCACCTGCTTTGCGGCCTGAGGAGGAACTCTCTTCTGTGGGTCTCAGCACAAGGGCAATACAGAGCAAGAGATCTCCACGCGCGGATAAGAGGCCCTGGCCAAAGGGCCCAGGAAGGCCTTGTGCTCAGCAGGCAGTGGACAGCAAGAAGAGCTAAAGGGCTTCCCTCCGGTTTGGTTCTGCTTGCCGGTGGGAACGTCCTCCCGTCTGGGTCGAGCAACCACACAGGCACCAGGCAGTGGGGCAGAAAGCCACTGGAGGTGCGCGCCGGCTTCTCACAGCCCAGCCAAGAGGGGAGCAAGACACCTTCACTCACTGTCACGCGGCTGTGGTTTCGAGGCTGAGCCGCCATTCCCTTGGAAGGCTTTCTGGGCAGGCCGCAGTGGGCACCATACAGCTTCCGTCTCGGTCAGGTCATTGCCTCAGGCCGTCTGCGTGCAGGGAGGCCCGGGCCCAGGAGGGCTGGCATGCCTGCAGCAGCCCACTGGCCTCTCCACGCACGCACTGGGAGGGAGCGAGGGTGTGGGGCGCTGGCACGGAGGGGCCTGGCCTGGGTGGCCATGGGCTGGCCCTGCACCAGTGATGGCTCCATGGCCAGGAAAGCGAAGCCCAGGGGTAGAGGCGGTGAGGGGTGAGGCCGAGCACCCATACCCTGGCGCCACAGGTCCTGACTCCGAGACTGAGGCTGATCTCAAGGCGTCAGCACTCACGGGCCCTGAATGTCCCTGGTGCGCTGGGCTGGCCCTGGGCTTAGGCCCCGGCAGGGCAGTCACCCCCCACCCCTCCCTGTGGACCCGGAGGCTTGCAGCATCGGGGTGGCGGCGGTGAGGGGTGAGGCCGAGCACCCATACCCTGGCGCCACAGGTCCTGACTCCGAGACTGAGGCTGATCTCAAGGCGTCAGCACTCACGGGCCCTGAATGTCCCTGGTGCGCTGGGCTGGCCCTGGGCTTAGGCCCCGGCAGGGCAGTCACCCCCCACCCCTCCCTGTGGACCCGGAGGCTTGCAGCATCGGGGTGGCCGGCTCTGACTCCCAGGCGTCAGCTGCA